GGACCTGAGACCACTTCCAGGGTGTCTTTACAGTTTACGGGGTGCTTGGTTGACGAGTAGCTCAAATTTTTGGGGCTGGCGCCAGCTCGCTTTGTGCAATCCGCGCCGGTGTGGGGGGGGGATCAAGAGTGTGTGCGTGCTGCATTGTTTCGCAATCGCCACCATGCGTCCCATCTGGTTGTGTCAAGGTGACCGGCGTGATTGCCCTGTGAATCACGGTGATGGCCTCGCGGCGCCGCATCTGAGCTGCCACACTCCGTGCGCAAGCAGCAAAAAACTGCTCATCGGGCAAACCGTGCAGCTGCTTCGTGCAACCGCTTCCGATCATTGTTGACATGTCAAGGATGAGTTGAAGCGGGTGCGAAGCCCGTTGCGCGACGGCTCCGCAAGCGTCAAGGAGCGGTGGTAATCCAGTAACAGTGATGTGCCTGTCGCCCCACATTTGTACTCCATGCGTTGCGCTTGCGGGTGGGTTTCTGACAAGGGCTGATTCATGATCCGCGCAGTGGCTGGCTGGAGTTGCATGCAAAGCGGGCCAGCATCCGTGCTCGTTAACTTTGCAGCACACCAGCTTGCCACTGCGGAAGCCAAGGCAACTCAGCCCTTCCCTGTGTGCAGGCGGCTGTTATTGTACTTCACAGTACCGTACCAGCTAGGGGCGCCAGCAAAATTGCATGTATGGCGCTCAATCAGGTGCTTGTGCGTGCAACTATATTGCCCTGTACATGGCAGTACACGTCATCCTGAAGCGACGCGGTCTGGGCCGCATCGGGCTACCCCGCCAACACCGTCCGTCCCCTGCCGTTTGGGACGCAGCACGGCTCACCCGAGCCGGCCCCTCTTCAAGCGCGCCTCGCGTTCCCGCTCATCTAGAAAAAGTTTGAAACTTGTACGCTCTGCTGTTCTGTGAAGCCGACACTTCACCCAGGACCTACGCGGAGTGATCTCCCTTTCTGTTCTACGCCGCGAGCAAGGCCACATAAGCGTGGAAAAGACTACTCTTGCAGCCCAGCACGCGCGAGCCACACTGGCAGCGAGCCACGGCGAAGCCCAGGTGCGTGGGCTTCTCGACTGGCTGGTGGCAGACTGTTGGAAGCAAACATGTCCGTGAGTGCTATGAGAGCGCTTTGATGCTGCTGTCTGCCGTCTGGCTCCCGTGCCGATGGGACAACAACACGCGCCCTGCTGCTCTTTGGCGCTGGCGTGCGGCCTCGATCCCCTCTGCCGTCTTAAAAGCGTCTCTACTGGGTTCATAATACTTTTGACTGCTTGAGGACGCTTCATAGGGCCCGTTTCGTGGGCCCTCGCCTGGATATCCACCCCTGCCCTTGGGCCCCCAGTGGACCTTCCAGCACCTTCAAACGACCCGTTAACACCGTTTTAGGCTTAATACATGCGCTGCACCCGCGCAAGGCCGGTCTGAGTTCCTGCTGGACAGCCAGCAAGGCATTTGAAGCATGCGCGCTGCTGCTGCACAGTTGTGCGCGTTTGATACAGACTCACCCTGACGTGCCATGTCCTGGCTCTTCCTTGCAGGGCATCTGCGGCTGCTGTCAGCAGGGATGACGGAGGGCGCAGCGGCGCCGGGGCCGGGCAGCTTGCCCAGCCTCGGCGGCCAAAGCGAGCCACCAGCAGGGGACGCAGCAGGAGGCACCACGGACGACCTTCAGGCGCAGGGGCACGAAGCGCCGCAGGCGCAACAGCAAGGGCCACCTGCGCAAGCACAGGTGCATGAGCAGGCAGGGCCAGTGCATGCACAGGGGGAGCACGCCAGTGGAGAGGAGTTCCGGCACCATTCGATGAATGGTGCGGAGCCCTCGCATGTGCTGCCACCTGAGGAGAATGAGGAGCAGCAAAAGCATGAGGAGCAGCACGAGCAGCAGGAGCGGCGCAAGGAGGAGGAGGAGCAAGCAGCGTTGTCGCTGCCTGCAGCAGAGGACATGCAGCAGTCGACGGCCCCGGGGCCTGGGCCAGAGGCTCGGCCAGAGCAGCAGCGAGACGAGCCGCCAGACGAGCCGCTTGAGGTCTTTTACTCCCCACAGCAGGCGGCGCAGCAGGCGGTGGCGCCAGGCGACGATTCAGGACCTCTGGGTGGGGGCAGCGGCAGCGACGGTGATGCTTTGGGTCGGGAAGCGGGCGGCGAGGGCGGCGCCAAGAAGCGTGTGTCACGGGAGCTGAACAAGTTGTCAATAGACGCCCACTGGCAGCCTGCACCAGAGCCTTCCAGTGGGCCAGCCAGCGGACGGCCGCAGCGTGCACGCGTCTCAGCACCCCAGCAGCAGCAGCAGCAGCAGCAGACGTCATCTGCTGTGGCTTTGACGATGCCGGGGCTTCCCTTTATGGGGGGTGCTGCTTCTCTGCCAGAGGGGATACAGCAGCAGCAGCAGGAGCAGCAGCAGCAGCAGGAGCAGCAGCAGCCCGCGGGCCTCAGCGATTTCCCAGCTGAGCAGCAGCAGGCACAAACCGGAGAGGGCGCAGGCCCGTCCGCGCCTGCTGCTGCTGGCCGGTCTTCCGCCATGGCCGCAGTCGCCGCGCGCAACGGGCGTGCCGGCGACTCGCAGTGGCAGGAGGCCGCCACCAAGTTGGCGGCCCGGATCAAGCAGAGGATTGCTGCATCGGACGGCCTCGACGCGGCGGCTGCGGCGAGCCCCGCCGGAGTGAAAATCGCGGCAATCCTGCGCTGTGGGGAGCTGACGGGCGAGGCGGTCGAGTACCGCCGCGGCGGCCCCGCGTCGGGGCGCGTGCTGGAGGGGACGATCACGGGGCAGGGGCTCATCACGTGCACGTGCCAGACCTGCAAGTGAGGGACGGGTCGGAGGGGTGGG